CGGCTCGCCTAAGCCTGTGCGTTGCGTTTGCCACGGCCCACCGTAGTCTGCAGCTGAGGAGCCTCGTTCACTGGGATCGCTTCGACCTTTGGTAAAAAGGTGCGTGCAAAAAAAAAAGCTCACCTCCAGCTTCTCATGTCGCGCGGACCAGGCCGAATGAAATACCTCGTTGCTGAGCTTATGAATCTTGGTATGCCTATGCAAGCCTTAAGTACGAGCATGCGGACGCGGATGACCCCTGCAGCCACCTTTAGCATTGAATTGGTAGTCCAAGGGCCGTATGCGGACAAGCACCTCCATGCCCTACAAGCCAAATGGTTGCGCTCAGACTTTGTGCCTCGCGTTGTCATGATGGCTGAACTTGGGATTAAAGACCGCTTGTCGGCAACGGCATGGGCACGAGCGCTGATGTTGCGAAGGCGGGGTCGTTTAGATTCCAGGCATGCCCAGGAAGAAGAAATCTTCAAGTTGGCTGAATCCTGTCCCTCATCGTGGGCTTTTGCAGTGAAAAGCAAAGAAATTGAGCTAGGACTTCCGCAGGTGCCTCCTGGTTGTGACGATGCACCTACCAAGCAGCTTAAGGCCAAGCTGCACAGTCATGCTCATATTGTGATCCTCCCAGCCCTTCGAGCCAGTGAACAGCGCGTGTGGTTCGCCTGCCCGAAAAATATGCAGCACTGGAGATGTTTTTCGCCAGATGCATGGACGGTGGCCTCACTTTCCACTTTCCTCGGGGAATCACGATCAAAGATGCACAAGCATGGGCCCAGCTGAAATTACAAGGGCAAGAAATGGCCCCAGTGTACCTTGTGGCTTCTGCAATGACGGGGTCCTTGAAACCATCGAGCATATGTTTCTGTCATGCCCGCGAGTACACGCACTCCTTGAAGCTGTACTGCTCAGCGCATGCCACGAAACAAGACTGTCAGTCGGCAGTAAACTAGAGCACGCTGAAGACGTGCTCCCTTGGGTTTATGCAGCTGGGAAGCTGTTGCCATCAAAGCACGAGCGCTTGTGCTGAAAAATGACGGGATCAGAGTGCACACTCGGTTTCTTGGCATGAGCAATGCTGTGTTGTGCGGTGCTTTAACCAAAGCCACCTAACATGCCAATCTCTTTCGTGCAGTCTCTGTGGCGTCTAGGGATAGCCAGTTCGGTCTACTGTGGTGTTTTTTCCCTAAACCGCCTGGTGAACCAATTTCCTGTGCACCTTTTGACTCGCATGTTTTACCCGAATCCTGCAGTCATTTCCAGAAGTGGATGAGACCACTGCCGGCGGGGCCTCGGGAGGGCTTGTTGGTCTTTGCGTTCAGGTTGCCAGGGAGGTTCTCTTTTCGGACTCTAGTATAAGGACCCCTCCCGAGCCTGAGCTTTTCCCTGCCTCCCTCGGAGGATCCTCCTCAGAGGCTTCGTTCGCGATCCATCTTGATTGGACTTCTTTCCTGTTAGGGATATTCGTGGGGGTCCTCATTTGGCCTTTGCTGGATTTGGCTTTTCTGGCCCGGCTCCTTGTTTCGGGGTCATTTCGGCGGGCTTTCGGGCTCCCACCTTCCGGGCTTTATCGGCTTCTTGAATGAGTGAGAGGGGTGTGGAGCTCCGAACGCTTCGCCAAGAAATCGCTGCAGTCCGAGTTTTGCTTGAGAGGCTTGAGGCCCGAGTGTTTGCTCTGGAAGAGGAGGATAGGTTTGAGGTTGTGTATCACGAGGCTCTTGCTCGCCCCTCTGAGTCCCCCGGATCAGGTGGAGTCAATCTCTCCCGGGGTTCCTCAGACACTTCATCGTGCCCTCGGCCTGTGGAGCCTTCCCCTTCCCTTTCGCCTGGTTCAGGAGGAGTGCAGCTCTCCCAGGTGTCCGCTTCCGCTCCCTCTTCTGCTTCTGACGGGTCTTGCTCCACTCGTCCCGGCGGACCGAACTCCGTCTTCCGTACTGAGGTGGCTGAGAACGTGGGGCACTTTTTGCGTCGCGCATTGGACGGGGCCTACCGGGGCTCGTCTGGAAGGGATCAGTTGAGTGTGGCTTCTCGCTATTACATAGTCCTTGCTGATTTCGAGGGCCGGCAATTTGCTGAGCCTTGTGTCTTTTCGACTTTCTCCAGGGCCAAGGCTTTGTGCATTCGAGGCCCTGATAAAGGGCAGAGCATTTTTGTGGGCTTACCGAGCCAGACTGAGGTTGCGACAGCTCTCCGAGCTGCTGGGCTGAATTGGCCCCGATCTGGCCTTGATGGCCAGTCTGCCTACGCTTGAGGAAGCCGTTATCCCGGGTAGCACTCCTGCCTTCCAGAGGCTCCGGGATTATATTTTGGAAGGTCGAGAGGCTCAGATTGGGGAGTTGCGTATCTCTTCTTCTGAAGGTCCGGAGGTCTCTTGTCAGATTGTCGTAGTTGGGGAGTTTGAAGGGCAGTTCTTGGTTGCTGTGCCACAAGGAGCATGGCACAGAATAGCAGGACGCAGGTACCTGCCTCGAGAATCCCTCGCTCGGCCGGTTCTGGCCGAGGTTCTTGCATCTTCAGAAGAGGATCCATCCGAGCCCCACCGCATTTGGCGGATGAAGGTCTGGCTAGGCATGCTACAGCCCAGCCTCGAGGATTCCAGGACCTAGCCGAGGAAGGTGGCAGCGAGATGCAAGATGGAGCCGGGGACCAGGGATGGGAGCAGAGGCTTCGTGTTCTGGAGCTGGGCATGCGCCAGCTTCAGACGAGCATGCAGACCTTGGTGGATGGAGTTCCTTTGTCTCGCGAGGAGCTGGCAGAAGTTCCTCCCGAGCCTGCGCCGGCCGCCGGAGTTGGGGCTTTTCAGGGAGCTCCGCCCGGGCTGTCAAGACCGCCTCGTTTAGCTGGCCTAGATCCGGGGGTAGTGGATGCTGCTCGTGCTGCGGGGATCCCAGAAAATCAGCTCGCCAAGATGTCTCAGATGGCTACCGCAGGGCGGGGCCGGCTCGGCGGACGGGCCAAGGCGGCACCTCGGAGGGCTGCGGATCCGCTGGACGAATCGGACGAAGAGGTGGTGGCAGCCGCTGGCGATGGGGAGGCTTTAGCTTCCGGGAGCCAGGTCACGCAGGCGATGATCCAGATCAGCAAGGTCCTGAAGGCCATGCACAGCGAGAGGGAGAAGCGGAACGATCTGGAAGAGCTCCTGGACCGCGCCGATGGCGGCGGCGACGCCCTAGGAGGACCTGGAGCTTCGGGAAGATCGAAGACTGCTGCATTTCACAAATTGCGCGGGATTCTGAGGAATTCGCCAGAGCTCATATCGGCTTCGATCGAGGGTCTGATTTCCGAAGATTTCTCTCTCGCTCAGAGCGGACCGAGTTTGGAGGATCGAAAGTGCACTGTGAGAGGTTGGGTCGAACATCGTTCACATCTCCAGCAGTTTGCAGGACCGATCAGGAACGCGTGGACTTTGGCTACCATCGTGGACCAGCTGAACAATGCCCAGCCGGAAGCTGCGAAAGCCACAGCCCTTTTGGCGATAGCATCATTGGATCAGGCGGCAATAGATCAGGGGAACTGGCTGTTAGCCAGCGAGTTTGCAATGCAGCCATCGCCTCCGTTCAGCGCTTTTCAACGTCCTCGAAGCCTCGATCCTTTGGAAGCGAGACAGACCAAGATCATCGATTCAAGGTGGATTTCAGTGTTCATGTCCCGACTGAAGGAGCGAGACGCTTTTCATACAGCCAAGAAGAACCTTTCGAGCCAAGGGTCTTCGGTCCCTCCCGGGAACACGAGTGGGGGAGACGCTGCTGGTGGAAGTGGAGATCCTGCGCGGAAGCCCCCGCGGAAGCCCCCCAAGGGGGGGGGCAAAGGCGGCGAGAAGGAGAAGTGAGACAATGCTCTTCCTGGCGACCCTTGCTCCGTAGGCCTTGGCTTCATGATGCATCCGGGCTCGGGCTAAGTGAGCAGCCTCCATGTTGGAGGCCCACGTTGCACCACATCTGCCGCCAGCCCATTTGTCAGGCTTTAGGTTCTGAGATTCCGGGTTACAGTTCTGGGTCCCGTAGCGCTGATGTTTTTCAAGTTTCGTCGAGCGCTAGCGGGACATGTCTCAGAGGCGGCGCTGATCTTCTTCCAGGGTCAGCTGAATCTTCTTTTGGATTTTCGGGTCCTCCGCAAGAGGAGTCTTACGGACCCCCAGGCATAACTCCTTCCAGTCGGGAAGCCAAATCTTCTTTAGTGTTTAAAGGTTGTGAGCTTGAGGTAGGAGCCCCGAGCGAGAATTCAGTCCAGGACCGAGCTGACGAATCCCAAGCGCGCCTTCCAGAAGCAGGCCATGAGAGCCAGCATGGGACTTACGCGCCGAGCTTTATAGGCTGCGAGAGCGTGCGCGGCACAGTGGGTGACGTTCATCTTGGTTCGGAGCAAGCGAACTCTGGTGTGAGCCGGGGGTCTTTGCACATTGAGGGGACTAAAGTTCTTTCCGGGGGTCAGCCCAAAGAATCCATTTCTCCAGGTTCGCGAGCGCCCCGAGTTTTTCCTAATGAGTTGTGGTCCAGATTCTTTGAGACCATGAGCAGATCTGACTGCTCTCTTTCTTCATTTTTTCACTCCATCCGGCTGCTACCTTGTGGAGAGCAAGGGCATCATCAGCAATCGAGCTGTAAATCATCCGGTCAGGTATGGCCGATCCCTCTACCTTTTCCCAAGCTGCTTAAGCCGGGTTCTCCTAAGGTCCGCGATCCTGTCGAGCTGGGTCTCAATGCTGTAATCCTTGTTCTGGATTGGCTGTTCCTTGGGCAGCCCCCCTTGATCTCTCGAGGTCTTCGCATGGGTCTCGGAGAGCCTCTTACCAAGGCTCAGTTCAAAGCTGTGAGCTCCTTGCGACGGGGGGTTGAGGACTGGAACCGCTCTGGACCTTTCGGCCCCGAGGAGCTTGGGCGGAGCGCGCCGAAGTTTGAGAGTCTCTACGACATGCTCCATGCTTGTCAGGAAGAGTACAGTAAGCTGCCTGCGGGAGCTGCCCTGGAGGAGGCTGCCTTCAGCTTCAGCGCCCCATGCCATGTCCTTCCCGTAGAGCCCGATCGACTGAACTTCGTCGGTCTTCCGAGCTTCGACCCGCGACCGTATCTTGATACCGCCAACCGCCGTACTTACGAGGACCCTATCCGATTTGCTGAGCCTTTAACTGATGAGGTTCGGCTGCCTCATGTCGCCGTCCGGGCGAGCAAAGATCAGGTGAGGCGGCTTCTGGAGCTCCTCGATTCCTCAGGCCGGCTGGCTCTTTTCACTAAGGGCGATGTGCGGCCTGGTGTTAGGAGCGGTTTGTTCTCGGTGCCAAAAGACGGCAAGCGGGATAGACTTGTGCTTGATGCGCGTCCTCCAAATGCTCTGGAGTGCAGTGAGTCCAGGTGGATTAGGTCTTTGGGCACTCTTGAGCAAATCCAGTTCATGCATCTTCCAGAGGATTGTGATCTTGAGATTCACGCCGAAGACCTTAAAGAATTTTATCACAGCTTCATTGTGTCGTCCATTCGAAGCGCACGAAATTCTTTAGCGCTGGAGCTCTCTTACGAAGATGTAGCACATCTGTCAGTCTGCTCCAAGGCGATGAGGAATCAAATCATTATCCCAGCCTTGGGGACCATGGCAATGGGTGGCACGAACGCCGTCGCCTACGGGCAAGCATCCCATCTGGCAGTGCTGTTGCAGACCACTTCCCTGCGTCTCTCCGATTTCCTGTCTTTGCAAGGACGGCCGCCTAGATCGGGATGCATCGTCGCAGGATTGCTTATCGATGACTTCGTGCTTCTGGATCCTGTGCCTAAGGTTCCGCCTAGTTTAGGGTATGAGCCTCAGGGAGTCAAGATCATGCGGGAGGTTGTTGACGGCTACCGATCTAGTGGGCTCCCTCGGCATGAAGGTAAATCGGTCTCTCGAGCCAGTGTCGGGGACTTTTGGGGCGGCCAGCTCGATGGGAAAACAGGCCTCCTGCGGCCGAGTCCTAAACGTGTTAGCGGGCTAGCTGCCTTCCTCCTTGAGGTTGTCCGCGGCGGAGTGACGTCAGTTGGCATGCTTGAGGTGATCTCCGGTAGCCTTGTATCAGGTTTGCAGCTGCGAAGGAGGCTTCTTTCACTGCTTGACGAAGTTTATGCAGCGCAGCAGCATCGTCCTCGCAACGCGTTCCTTCGGGTTCGGGGGGACCTTTGCAATGAGCTCTTGTCTGCTACGGTTCTCCTCTGCCAGGTCGACGTTGATATCCGAGCTCCCGGCGCTCCAGTCGTCTTGGCCACTGATGCTTCGTCCACTGCCGAGGCAGGAGCCGCAGCCGAGATCCCAGCTGAGCTTTCGGTTGAGCTTAGTCGGCATAGCTTGCAACGTGGACTGTGGAGTAGACTGCTCAGCCCAGAACAGGCTTTCTTGCAGGAGAGAGGAGATCTTGAGGAAGGGCAAGCTCTTCCAGGAGAATCTTACAGCTCTCATCCTTTGTGGGAGGAAGTCTGTTGCTCTTTACAGTTCAGGCAGTTTGGAAAGATCGTCAAGGTCGCCAGGCGCCGGCATATCAATGTAGGCGAGGTGCGAGCCGCCATTCGAGGCGAAGAGGGTATCGGTAGACGCTATCCCGGCTCCCGTTACGTTCACCTTCAGGACAGTCAGGTCAGCCTTGCGACTTTTGTCAAGGGCCGATCGTCATCGAGGGCCATCAACTTTGAGCTTCGCCGTTCACTCCCATGTTACCTCGCCACCCGGGTTAGGCCCTCTTTCGGGTTTATTAGATCCAAGTGGAACCCCTCTGATGATCCCACGAGAAGCTGTGAGTTACGGAAGCCCAGCCGCGAGCCTTCTGATTGGTTTGCCTCTGCTATCAAAGGGGACCTTGGCCCTCTTGATAGTTTCCTATACGAGCAGGAGCTGCATCCCGAGCAACTTGCCGGGCTTCCTGATGCTAGGGAGCTCGGTCCCGACGGACCTCTTGCAGACGCCCCTCCAGCTAAACTTCGTCAAGCTAGGGTAAGTCATGACCCAGAGAAGCGAGCGCGGCAGCTTCTGAGACGAGAGGCCATCTCTTCTGAAGACGCGCTCGAAATCTTTCGGCGACTGCCCAAGGAGGTTTCGAGTCGGAGCTCAGGTCTGAAGAAGGGCGAGACTTCTTTTTCGGCCGGGGTTTTCGTTCATGGTGGGGTCGTTGGGCTTCGAAAGAACTGTGAGCTCTTTCCGTCTGCCGTTCAGGTCTTCACGGCCTTGCTCAGGAGACTTAGACCGGGATTCATCTTCAGCTCTCTCTCTGTCAATCAGAACGTGAAAACCTTGCCGCATGTTGATCGGAACAACTTGTCTTCCGAACCAAATTTCGTTGTGGGTATCACTAGATTCAGGGAAGGGGGTGTGTGGGTTGAAACGTCTGGAGGGTCTGTTTAGGTCTTTCATAAGGGTCAAGCCAGGCAGGGCGAAATACTCGATGTCGCGAGCCACCCAGTGTCGTTCGACCCTAGGCGGCTGCATTGCACCATGAGTTGGCGCGGCACGCGTACCGTGCTGATTGGATTCACTGTTCGAGGCACAGAGAGGCTCTCAGCTTCCCAGCGGGCTGAAGCTCTCTCGCTGGGCTTTGTTCTTCCTCCGTCTGGAGTCTCAGATGAGGTGGCCGAGGTTTGCGATTGTCCGGCCCCGATTCCTCGAGCTGTGCGGCCTCCCGGAGGCAAGTTCCCTGCTACTGGTAAGCGCCTTGGCCAGCAGATTCATCTTCCCTTGCGCATCGATCCTTTTCATTTCAGCGTTGGCTCCCCTGGTGTTGAGCCTGCCTTCACTTCGAGCCGATCTCTGCCGTGTGCTTCCGGTCGGGCCTGCTCCTTGTCCAGCACCGTCCTCCAGTCTCTTAGGGCTATGCCTCCCGGGAGGTTCGTCTACTCCTCGGCTTTTCCTGATTTGGACTCCGCTCTGAGCTCGGGTTCGGGGTGGCTTGATCTCTTTTCAGGGATGAGGGGTTTCGCCAGGGCTTTAGCTGCCGCCGCGCCATGCTGGATACTTTGTCTGGATGTCAGCCATGGAGAAGATGAGGATCTCTTGGATCCGGATCTGCAGGGGTCCCTCTTCGAGCTGCTTCGAGACGGAGCCTTTGCTGGTGTCAGCGCAGCTCCAGTCTGCGCCTCTTTTTCGAGTGCTATCGTCCCGACGTGGAGGAGTCGCGAGCATCCCCAGGGGAAGCCAGGGCTGAGGCTCGATCAAGCCGAGAAAGTCATCAAGGGCAACCTCTTCCTGGAGTTCCTCCTCGAGGTCATCGTCGTATGTGATGAGGTCGGCACTATCTACTGGGTCGAGAACCCAGTTAGCAGCTGGCTCTGGCGCCAGCCCGCGTGGAGCTCGGTGCTCGCTCGAGCCTCTGAATATGAATTCATCTGCGACTGTTGCGTGTTTGGCACTCCTTGGCGGAAAGGTACCCGCTTTAGGACTAACGGCCAGTTGCGCGGCAAACGACTTCTTTGTCCTCGCACTCATGTTCATCGCGTCCTTCGAGGTCGCGACCCCGACAGTGGTGTTTCTTTGACAAAGCTGGCTGAGCCTTATCCCAAGGGCCTTTGCAACATGCTCGCGGCTGCATGTGCATCCGATGTCGGCTGGCTCGGGGAACATCGTGATCTCGATCTTAGCCGATGCGCCAGGTGCTTGGGGGCTCGGATTGGTGAAGCGTCGAATCCTGGACCCCGGCGGCCAAGGGGTCGCAGGGCCTCTCAGCGGCTGGAAGATGTTCCCGTCGTAGCGGCGACTACTGCTAAGGTTCGGACAGGTATCTGGGCTCGCTTCAAAGCCTGGATATACGAAGGTGTCGACGAAGCTGGTTGGAGATCGCTTGAAAGGAGTCCCGAGCTTCTCGTTGAGCTGCTCAAAGGGTAC